AAGGGGAAGGGGGAGGGGAACGGGAAGGGGGAGGGGGAGGGGAACGGGAAGGGGGAGGGGAACAGGAAGGGGGAGGGGAAGGGGAACGGGAAGGCCAGGGAAGTTTCTCTTTGCAGTAACCTCGGTGCTGTTTTCGATAACTAGAACAGAATGTTCATACAAGTACAGTGCACACGGGCAGCTTCTCTGTGTGAACAGCTCGCCATGTCATTTGAAGCATTTTTTTCCTACATTTTTGTTTTTCTCTCGTTTCAGATTTTGATTGTCCAGTTCGGAGGGAAGCCCTTCAGCTGTTCTCCTTTAAACGCACAACAATGGCTGTGGTGCCTGTTTGTGGGAGTGGGGGAGCTTGTCTGGGGACAGGTGAACTATTGCTGCATGATTATCCACCTAATATGGATTTTATGTCCTGGCAGGCGCCTGTTATGTATGTATAGGAGTGTCATGTATGTATAGGCGTGTCATGTATGTATAGGTGTGTCATGTATGTATAGGCGTGTCATGTATGTATAGGTGTGTCATGTATGTATAGGTGTGTCGTGTATGTATAGGCGTGTCGTGTATGTATAGGCGAGTCGTGTATGTATAGGCGTGTCGTGTATGTATAGGCGTGTCGTGTATGTATAGGCCTGTCGTGTATGTATAGGCGAGTCGTGTATGTATAGGCGTGTCGTGTATGTATAGGCGTGAAATCACTGAGCTGCATGGTTACAGTACCTGTGATACATAACGGGATACACTCAATGCGATGTTTTGGGGTCTCGCAGGATCCCCTTCATAGTGTTCTGACTGATGAAGAGGATCCGGCAAGACCCCAAAACGTCGCATTGAGTGTATCCCGTTATGCTGCTCATACTTCAATAAACAGTGTGGAGGCGGCCATCTTTGTACAGGAGCAGGTCTTTGCTTCCTCATGTCAGAGCTGCCCCCCTGATGGCCGGTGATCTGATGACAGCTGGGGGATATTTACGAAGCATCAGGAGCAGAAGGATCTTTACCATTAGGTTCTCAGGTGCGGGTTCCTCTCCAGCAAGGAGAAAAGGGAACAGCACCTGAGCGGCATCACCAAATCTCCTGTGACCGGCAGTCAGAGACATCAGTGCTGTAGAGGATCTCACACTGCAGATATACAGCTATGAGGCTCCAGGAAGTGCTCTGCTATTTTTCAGGAGGAATTCAAAGCAAAATGGGGATTTTTCAGGGTCACTTCCATTTTTGTTTAGTTTTGGGTAGGGTGGGGGTGGTTAAAGGAGAACTATGAGGGGGGGGGGGGG